ATAACCAACAAAAAGTTTTCGTATCTTCACTAGAGATCAAACCACATCCAAACAAAGTTGACTGCCCATGATGATTAACTCCTACGAATGGAGCAAAGGGCATGTCATACTTATTTGTCAAATATGTTGTATCAAATGTAATAACATCACCAAATTCTTCATATGCAGCCCTACTCCTTGCATCAGCCCAAAACACATTCCTTAACCGACCCTCATCATCCAAATCCATTATATAAAAGAAGTTTGCATTTTCACCTTGCATCTTTAAGAAGTAATTTTGTATCGCAGAAGCATCTCCTTCCCCAAGCCGTAAACGCCTTATTTTATCAATGTAGTTTCTACAATCCTTCTCTAAAAAAGAGATATTCTCATGCCCCCTGCTTCAACCACAAATGAATTAAAATTTTTATTTATTCTAATCCCCGCCCTATCGTTCAATTCAAGCTTCCTTTTCACATTTGGTCCCATCACTCGATTGCAACGAAAGAATCGAGCTTTGCTTGGACTAACCTCATGGTTATGATCAAGCATGACAGTGTTCAGTCGCCACTTTCTATCAGCACATAAAATTGCTAGGACCTTTGCCTTGCAACCTGTTCTGATACTTGGACGCGGTTTGAAAGGATTTTTAGAATTGCACTCTGACTTTCCTGATCGGGAACAACAAATCGTCAAATATTTCAACTCACCATCATCTCCTTTTCCTGATGATCTTATCTTAACTGGGAACCCCAATTGCTTACCATAATCTGTGTAATAGTCAAACAACTCTTTTTCACTTTCAAACATCATCCCAACCTTAGGCTCATCTACGTTGACCACATTCTGTATTTTAGTCTCAACATTTTTATCAATCATTTGCAAACTACTTGAACATTCTCCTTCCATTCTAAAAAAGAATTAACCCCACCAAGTGCCTCTTTGATTAATCAGAGATTTCTTAACCACAATATATGCCTGAACACCACATGTTTATGCTCCAAAATCACTAACAAAAATAAATGGATAGAATATTAAAAAGTAAAAAAGATGTAATAAACTTATAAGAAAATTAGTTCTTCAATGAATTCACATCTAAGACATCCTAAAACAATAGACATAATTAATCTTGAGAAATTCATAACAAAAAAGCAATATGCTGTAACAGTAAACCAACAAAGGAAAAAATGAGTAAACTTTATTTTTTATGTTCAGGATCTATATTTCGAGTATTTTTTAATGCTTTGTGTTTCTAAACTAAAAAGGAACTCTCTTTCCTGTACTCCGTGTATGGTGTTTGTAGTTGAATGTGTATTGACTTCTTGTGTTGAATTCAATGCTTAATGTGTGGTGCCTCATGTAATTCATGCCTAATTTTTCCTGATTAGCTCATGTGTTGCATGTTGTGTAGGTTCTGCAAGCCGAATCATTAATAGCAAAAATTCGGATTTATGGCGTAGAAAATTTGGAGCTACTGGTCAAATTCATTTGAAGCAATGATAAATAAGTTGTTTGACACTTACCAAGATGGGGACACTTAAAAAAATCTTGATCGAAACAATTGTTTACTCCAAGGCTTCGAACGATTATATATTCCAGCGAAGAGGTAAAGAGGGGAGGAGAAGCGTGATCGAAGCTCTCGAAAGACGAATGTGCTGGTGGCCAATGTCAATTGCCGGAGTTGTGAAATTCAAAAGTTGAGCAACCACATGGACAGTCCCAAAGTTGATCGGCCTAGCATCTCTTGTGGCAATTCGTGGACCTACAGAGCAAAAAAAAAAAAAAAAAACAGAGGGTGTTAGAAAAGCTTAGATGTACTAAAGATGAGATATTTATGAGCTTTTTCGTCATCAATACCTTTGCATACTTTAGAATCTGTGATAGCTTTTCAGGGAAATGATCGAATGGAAAAAAAAAATATCTACTGTGACATAGATTTGGACTGCTGAGCAGTACCACACGCATGCAAATGAAATCCAAGAAAGCAAATGTCGGTGGCACTCTTTGTTCTGTGGGCAAGTTTTGACATAGGGAAGGAGAGGGTTTCAGGGAGGGAAGAAGGAAGATGGAACGTTAAACCTGAGATTTCATCTTAAATTTTTTTTTTTTTTTTTGGGATGACATGACTGGTACACATCAGCAGCCACATCATCAAGTCTGTATTTTAAGTCTGTGTTTTAAGTCTGTCTAGCATTACTCAAAAAGCTCACACTAAAAGCCGTCTCCAGCGGTGACGCCTCTTCATTAGCAGCCCTCATCACTTGCAAAACTCCACGTGTCACTACGAGATCATTTTTCTATATATATATATATTTTAATGGATTATTTTTCATATATTCGCAACCGTTTACGTTTAACATTTACTCGAGGTCAACGCCGTCACTGACCTAACTGTGTCCACCCAGCAATATAAACAAGATCCGCCATACAGACTCAAACGAAGCGCTTTGACTAAAATCTTCGGTGAAGTGCCGAGGACAACAAACCAGTCCGATTCGATACCATGAAAGCCGTTCTTGTGCGAACCGGTTCAGTCCCGGTTCTTCCTTCGTTATTGGGCGGTTCACCGAGAGTTTCTCTCTCCGTTCACGACTCCATTTCCGGCGAGAAAAACCACTTTTCTTCTCCGAAGACTGGTCTGCGTTTGGAGGTCAATCGTCGAAGCGTTATGCGAAGGGCTTTGTCGGAAACAGATGTTGTCAGATTGGAAACTGAGGCTTCCTGTAAGTTCTCGAAGTTGAGCGGCATCGGATCGCTGAAAATACGGGAGGAAGAGTATGTAGAAAACGATGACGAGGTGGTTTTTAGAGGAATTGGATCTTTGACTTTGGCGGAGAGAGATTTTGATCGGAGGAACTATAAAGAAGATTGGCCGGCAAGTGCGATTCCGGTTGAATAACTAGGATTTCCAGGCGGTGGAGGTGGTAAAAACCGGAAGTCCGGCGGTGGCGGCGAACTCGGAACCGGTGGTGGAAACTCCGATCAGAGCAAGATCGGGGCATATTATCAGGAGCTGCTGAAGTCAAATCCTACAAATTCTATGCTGCTTAGAAACTACGGAAAATACTTGCATGAGGTACACTTCAAAATCACCTGCTTACTTTTCAGTCTATTCTCAGATCACTTGATGTATATTTGAGATTTTCATTCTCTGTTACGTAAAGGTGCAAAAAGATACGGCTAAAGCGGAAGAGTACTACGGTAGAGCTATATTGGCGAGTCCTGGAGATGGAGAAGTGCTATCATTATATGGAAAATTGATTTGGGAGACACATAGAGACGAAGATAGAGCCAAATCATACTTTGATCAGGCTGTTCACGCCTCCCCTGATGACTGGTACATCTCTCTATCTCTTTCAAGATTTCTGAATCAAAATTTCATAGTTCAATTCAATGATTTTATTCCAACTCTCTGTCTCTGTCTCTCATCTATGCTGGTTAGATCTGAGTTATTAATTCGAATCCTAATGTTTTTGCTCATGGAAATGACAGTACGGTTTTGGGATGGTACGCGCACTTCATGTGGGAAGCTGAGGAAGAGGAAGATGAAGATGCGGAAGAAATGGAGAGAAAGGGTGAACAGTCGGCGACCATGGTTGCAGCTTTCTAGCGAACAGTGCAATTGACAAACTGTAACGGTACTAACAGTTTTTTGCAAAAGCATAATTAGTGTAAAAAGAGGAATAATCTGACTTGACCCTCCTCCTAGATGCTACTGGGAGGACTCTGCAAGATGAGGAATAAGATAGAAAAATTATGTATTTGTGCGTGTGTGTGTGTTTCTTTTGCCTTTGATGTATGTACAGTGTAATAAATGATCTCTGTTCAATCTTATAATCATTTTTCCTCTTTGATGTAAAATTCTAATTCAAGTTTATAATAATGTTGTTTTATGCTATATGAATATGACAATGACACTGGATTGACCAGAAAATGAGGAGACTCTCAACAGGGTGGGGCTCCTCTGCTGCACAGTAGGGATGGGGTGTTGTTCTCAAAACGAATTCATTTTAAGCACATAATGAAATCATTTTATATGTAAAATGACATCATTTAAAGGAACAATTCGGTCTCCCGTTTGCCGCCGATAAAATCTTTAAAATTGATCAGTCAGTTGGCTTGGTTTGATTATTTTTTTCTATTGTGTGCACGAGTTATCTTCCTCTAAGCTCTGTATGACGACATGCCATTATCAATTAAATATAAGTTGGTTTCACTTAGGTCTACCTTGCTGCGATATTGTCCTATGAAAACGGTACAGCAAAGGAGCTGTGCCACTCTCAACATGGCAATATAATGAACCAAGCATGGGACAAAAAATGACAAGACAGGCATCGCAATGTAATGAATGAGCCAAGCATGGACGGAAATATGTTATGGCCTACAGGGTGGATGGTTCCCCCATTATTCAGTTACTGTTTGAACAACAATTTCTCTCTTAGTAACAAGGTTCAAAACTCCGGACACAGTACTGGCTGGTGCCGTCCGTGGAGCCAAAGCATGGGTTCAGGTTAAAATTTATTAATCTGGAGCATTGTCTTAGATGAGGGCTTTAAATGGTTCCAATTACAATAATGTTGTCATCCTCTCTATTTGGGGCAAAAGAAAGGGACTATAGGTTTTTGGCATTCTAGTGCCTTCTAACAGCTTAAGGTTATTAGAAATAGAACAAACAAAGCCATAATCTTTAAGCCGGCAGGTTCTCTCCCCCTTGAAATAACAATAATCGCGATGTTTAATATCTTTCATGGAAGATATAATGTAAATAATCACCACATCATCATATATTTTTGAAGCATAAGCCAACAAACTACATAAAACAGTTTTTTCATACATGATCATAAGGTTACGTACATGTAACTCTCCCAGACTCTGCAGTGATAGAAAACTCATGCACTGGTCTGCTCTTTAGAGGGCGAGTCTTGACATAGTGCCAGGCAAATGCCACAAAGCATACTCTTAAGGGACATGTAAATCAAGCAGGAAACAGGAAGGATTTACTTGCATTCAATCTAACATCATCATGCACTTGAAATGACCCCTTTAACCATCTCTTTCGGAGTGCTAACAGAGTTTCGAGTAGTTTTGAACAGCCTGCTTACTTTCTCCTTCATTTTGCTACTTACTGTCTTTGGAACCTTTCCATCCTTCTCTTTAGTTTTTCTGCTTTCAGACTTGGGCACAGTCTTATGGAGTTTGCCAAGTGAAGAAGAACTGGAATTCATTTCTGGGACCTGCGTTTCATCGATCAGCTATGATCATAGACGAATTAATTGACTGAGCTTTCAAGGTAACTTTCATTTTTTAGTGGTAATACTTAACTCATACCATGACCAACCAGAACTTTCATTTCTTACTGGAGATAAGTTTTTTTTATAGAGCTACTGTTTTCATGAAATGTGGCTATTTTATGGAGAGTGAACAATCAGTGGGACATCATCATAGCGTTTTTAAGCATTCTAGTTTCTTATGTTACATTAAGATTAAGTTTATTGAGGCATCGGGAGTTCTAAAATTTCACAGTTTCTTTTAATTGTGACGAATGCTACTACATTGTCCTGTATTCATAAGTTGTAGCTCTGACAGAAACAATAGAATTATATCTTACATTTTTTGTTTCTGTTTTTGGCTGGGTAGTTTTTGCTAATAAAAGCTTGGCAATGGCAATGCTTTGAATGTGGAACTCTTCCGAAATTTGTTGATCTCCACTTCATCTCCTTCCTGCTTCTTTACTCATAAAACGTTTGTTTTTTTTTTTGAAAAGGTCATAAAATGTTTGTTAATCAACGATGATCCCTTAATATTTGTAGCCATAAGTCTAACATAAAACATTTCTGACTAGTCTAACACACCAGCAAGTGTCAAAGAAATACACTGTTTTTTTCATGTACCTTCGTAGTGACTTGGGGTCTCTTCTTTTCAACCTCCTTCATTTGATTGTTATCCTTAGTTTTCAAACCATTCTGTGATTTACAATCCAATGGAAACACAAAATTGGTTAAGTTTCATTGGCTTTCTTTAGTGAGACTTTATATAGAGAACTTCTGGGCGATGCTCCATGCATTGCTAGCCCGGGGACAAAAAAAAAAAAAAATATAAGATATTAGGATGATTATCCTTGCAGCGCTATAGACCATTGAATCCACTTAGTTTTAGTATGCAATTAAAAGGAAAAGTAATTAAAAAAAATTATGATCTAGGAATAATTTTTACCTCTGCTTAATGTCAACCTCCTCACCAGTTGTAACTTTGGGCTTCAAGCTTGTTTTACTTGGCCTGCTTGAACTAGCACCCCTCGCGCCGAAGGTTCTTTCACCACTAAGTGAGGATTTAGTAAGACTCCTGTACATTGGAACCTTGAATAATGTTAGACCCCTTCATTTTATTCCTTTTTCCTTTCTTTATTTTTTGCTTTTTGTTATTTTATTTATTTATTTATTTTTAATTTTTTTTTTGGGGGGAAGGGAGAGGGGAGGGAAGGATTTGAACCTTTAATTTCAAGAAAATAAAGTCTTTACACGGTAAGTAATACCATTAGACAAAGACTTTTCGTTGATTATAGCTCAATGTTTAATAAAAGTCAACATTTGACAGGAACTGACTTTGTTCTAATATCCGTGCCACATTTAAATTTTATGGAAAAATCCAGTAAAATTGTCAGTCATAACAAAGATTTTTCATGCTTATGTTGATTTTGATAGTACGAATTTTGATAGAAAAACTTACCTGTAATTAAAACTGGCAGACTTGGATGCAGCTGGTTTTGACTCAAAATCCATTGAACTTCGCCTTTGCCTGGACATTCTTTGCTCAATTGCCAAAGAGAATGGCCGAGGAACAGTGGTTCTTGTCTTGGTATTTTGCTTAACACGTAGATTCGATTTATTAGATGCATCAGTCTGGCTTTCACCAACCTATCCTCCTGCAATTTCCTGCTTGTCAAATTTGACTTCAGTTTCACTTTCATGTTTCTCTTCCGTCGTGTCCTTTTGCAATTGAGTTGCTTCAAGCATCTGAGCTACTTTGTCCTCTTTGTTGGTTTCACCTTGTTTATCAGGCTTTACTTTGTTCTGATCTTGTGGAGGACTTTGTTTGATCTCTTCTTTCTCTTCCATTTCTAGGGTCATTCAAGGAACAAAATTCGAACAGCAAGTTTTTACAAGTGAAAATGAGACCGGTTATCCATTCATATTGTTGAGAAAGTTACTATAATACGATTATGAAAGTTACTATAATGCAATTAGGGTTTATGTTTATTGTAATATGTATACCACACAAAGGGTATACTCGTATTTTTATTTTGTTCGGTGATTACAAATACAAAACCAATAGTGAGAGGTAGATTAAGCCAAAACCTCTCTTTGTCTTTCTCATATTGTGTCAAGCTCCTCCCTAATCTTAACATGGTATCAGAGCAAGACTCCTATTAATCTTCTTAATCATCTTTTCTTTTTCTTTTCCTTTTCTTTTCTTTTTTTTGTGTTCTTTTCTCTTCCACTCTTTTCCTGTTTTCTTCTGGTTTGCATCTTCACTAAGTCCGGGTGTTGAAGGGGTTTGCATTGACTCTGTGTAAGCTTCGGCATGAAACCGAGGTTCCAATGGTTCTCTGCTAAGTTGCTCTTGGTGCTGTTCATGGTGGTGGTGATGTGGTATCGTTGTGGATATTCCTTGTCACTGTGGTAATGTCGTCATTGCTTGGGGTGTGAGGTGTCGTCGACTGGTGAGGTGGTGTGTGACTTGATCCAAAATGTGTATACCCAAGTGCAGATGGTCAAGTTGTAATAATAATCCGGTTAAGTCCGGAGTCGAATCTACAGGAAACTATGATTGGTGTTTTGAAGTAAGCAATAATAGAGACCAAGTAACTAGAAATTTCGAGAGTTTGGAGTGGTGAGATTTCTTGAATAGAATAGAAGATTATTTTCAAGAATTTTCTAGACAAATTATAAGATTCTCAAAATGTAACAGCCACCCTTTAGCTCGAGGATCAAGACATGTACTAGATTATCCGGTTTATTATGTTTGTGCTTTATAACTCAATTAACTCCCGTGTCAATAACAAGTTAATCGGAAGATAAAGATGGATTGTGAGAATTAGGTACATGAGTCCGATACCTTTCTAGAAGTTTACAAGAATTGTCTATGTCGAGACTTAACCCGTCTACAAACAAGCAAGTGCTTCTACAAGACATCCAACCATGACATTAAGGGTCCATTCTTTGAATAAAACGCAAAAATGGTGGAGATTGAATGGTTGTTATGAAGAGCTAGACAGAGTGCTTGCCTTGAACCAACGAGTCTTTCGATGCAGGAGTCATCCGTATCATAGAGGAAACCCTTGGTTATACAAAGTACCTTAACTTTGCTAGATGCATTCAATCATCCAATGAACATGTGGAATATAAAACATTAAAGCATGAAAGAGTTGCACAAACATAACTTCCGGATAATCTTTACATATTCATCACTTCTTACTAAAGAGTGAATGAGGAACTACTCACTTTTCATGGCCTTGGCAAAGCTAGAAAAGTGAATGCTACTCATCCCTCTAAGTAGAGGAGCTACTAAGTGAAACAAACTAAACAAATAGCTTATCTTCAATGAAAAATAAGTGAATCACTTTCACCTTTAGACAGCATCACATTCTTGGTATTAGCCCATCCCACATTGTACCTTGTGTTTGACCTAAGGGTAATGTTGTAATGGCTCTGGCAATGTCGTGCATAAACATGGATTCCACTAGGATTATGTTCCATCTCATATGGGCTTAACTATTAATTCTTTCATCCACGTTGCCGCAGGTTTTAGAGGTACTGATAGTTTTTCATACCCAAGACCCCATTGTCTTCCCAGATTTGGATTCCTTCCACATTTCCTACCAACCAAAACGTCCTTGCTTTAATGAATATCACTTCCGGCATGCTCTTTCCACATTCAAGAGCTTGCAGGTTTTTCAATGCTTTCCACAAAAATAAGCTGAAAATGTTTGTCTTTAGATACATGTCCCACAACAAATGCAGATTATGCACAACCTCCATGCTTCTTTAGCCTGTACTCTTTGTTAGACAGTTTCAAGTCTCTAAACCATAAGCTTCCTTTCAGTTTTCACTTGGTTAGCTTCTTCCATTGCCTCCAATTAATCCCCTTTTCTCCCGTGTTTCCTTTCCTTATGCAAAACCTACTTTTATCTTCCAAAAATTCCAGGACATATGTAGTTAAATATACGTAAAGATATAAGGTATATGTTTTTCTCAGGGATGCAACTTAGGCGGGTTGGGGGGTTTGCCCAAGCCCAACCCAGAGTATATAAACCTCAACCCTGACCCGACCTCTATCTCGAATTGCTCAACCCGACTACTGCCCAAGTTAGTTTGTAAAAAATTGGGTTGAATTTAGGTTTACTTTTTCGGGTTGATTTCGAGTTTGCTAATTCGGGTTGATTTCAGGCTCCTACTGTCAACAAATTCTTCATTGCCCCCTATTTTTGACATCAACTATTACCTGACTAGTGAGAGAACCATACTTAGATAAATTGAAGCCAGACTTAGAGAAATTGAAGAAAAAAAATAACCAACGTTTGCATCAACACAAAATATTTCAGATTCATAGGGTATACATCACATTCAGATTCATGTATATCACTTTCAGATTCAAAACATCACAACCCAAGAACCAGGCATGTTTAATTACTATGTACATCACATTCAAATTCAGAAAAATCAAAGAAAATATAGAAATCATAACAATATGAGAAATTGAAAATATAGCCACTTTTCAACAGTGCATATCTAACACAGAAATTAGAGAATATCAAAGATAAATGATTCAGAATAATCAGAAAAGTCTAACAACTAATCAAAAATTGAACTAAAGGTAGATGAATTATGATTGAACCAAATATAGACGATTCAAAAAAATTAGAAAAATCTAAAACCTAATTTCAACATAGAACATAGATCAACACAAACAATTAAAGAAGAGGAAGCACCAGATCAAGACGAAGAGGAAGAATCAAATCATATTCATACCGTATATTCTCAAAGACGACATGGAGGAGGTGGCTTCTGATCTTTTGATAGATGACCTAAAGGAGATGACCTATGATCTTTTGACAGACATTGTGAGAGGAAAAGGGGAAAAGACGAAGAGAGGCGAGTCACTGTTGAGATTGAGGCTAGAGGTGACAAATGAGAAAGATACCCTAGTTGGTAGTTCTCTTTTATATATATATATATATATATATTAATTATATTTTTTTTTTAACAATTTTGGGTTGAGCTCGAATTATAAAATCAGGTTGAACCCAATTTCATCAATATGGGTTGGGTTCGGGTTGAACCCGTAAACCTAACACCTCAACTCAAGCACTACTCTAATTGAATTCGGGTTAGAGTTTTCTAACCCAGGTTTAACCTAATTTTTAAAACACCAACCCAAGCCCTGTTTTTTTTTTTTTTGGTAGGGTAGTGTTAGGGTTGGGGTGTGGTTGGCCCGCCCAACTTGCACCCCTAGTTTTTCTATTGAGGTTCATGAATGTTGGGATTATTAGCACTTTGTAAAAAAACACATCTTATTAGCAATTTGCAAAAAAACACATCTTATTAGCACTTTGCAAAAAACCACATCTTGTACATATTGTAAATGGCATTTCTTAGGCCTTTAGCCATGGAAATGGGTCTTCAGAATTGTTGCATTTTGGAAAACATGACTCTTCATGGGAAATGAAATAGGAGACACTTGGAAGCAGTGTTATTAGGACTGGACTGGCCGATCAGACCGGTGAATCGAGCCCTAGACCGGTCCGATTTGATAGAAAAACTGCTTGTGCAATTAAACTGTTAAAGAACTATAAAATCGGCCGGTTTGTAGAAAACTAGTGAACAAGACGGTTATTAAAACCGGGCGGTTCCAATATTAAGCCATAAAAAAAACCCTTAATTTGGGACAATTTTAGCTCTAAGTCAATGAATCCTTCAGTTTTCTCTTTTGTTTTCTCCAATCTTGATGCACAACAACACATTAGCTCAACGCACAGCAGCTCATGGCAATCAATCTCCTCAGCTTAGCTACTCAAGGTCTCAAATTCAGCCAAGGTAATGGGTCTCTCCCTTCTCCTTCCATCTGTTGTGTCTTTTCCATTGATTGCATTGACTTGAAAAATTCCCAGACGCGGAGGAGTGGTGGAAAGTGGTGAAGCTGATGGAGAGGGCTTAATCTTTCAATCTTCTCTTCCTTCCATTTGACTTGTTTGACATGGTTCAAAGTAGGTTGAATTGACATCACTCTCTTGGGTTCGGCTCACCTGCGGTTAGTGAAGTAACAAGATATGGTGTTGTTAAGTTATTCGGCGCTGTGTTGTCCATAAACAGAGCACACATAAGCATCTCCCCTAAACGGTATAGTTTTGAGGTAGTAAGCATCTTCCCTAAAACAAGATGGTCAAACCCCAGGTCTTCCTTAATTATTGTTTCAAGTAGCAGTTGCGAATTTGTATCTGCCAGTGTGCTGCTGCGAATGAAAGAAATAGAGAGGCACTGGAACACCTCACAAGTGCTTCAACAACTACCTACATGCCAATTCTAAATTCCTATTTGTCAGACTAATTTCCTATTTGTTTTGAGGTTATAAGCCGTTGATGTTATTGATATTATTTATTTTATGTTTTAAAGGACTAAAGGTGCCAAGGGCATTATGGCCTTGGCAACTGATGATGGACATCGGCTACGTAATAGTCCATGGGTCATAAAATGGGTAAATTTGTATGGTTATTGTGTTTTGAGTTAGGGTCATAGGTTTTCTAGAGTGATCTTAGAGTTAAGTCTTTGGTTTCTCATTTGGGAGTCATAGTCTTCGTGAAATAAGAGAAAATGAATTGTTTGTTGAGAATTTGTTTTACCTTAATGGGTGATTGTTAGGAAATTCTAGATATTCCTGTAATCTTCTTCTTTCTTCTCTTGCTCCCATATTTTTCTATTTTTCCTACCTGTGATCAGAGCTTCAAACCATTCCTTTCAGTCCTTGAAATCCATAACGTATAAAGAGTTTTTTCTTCCAATAATATACTTAACCAATCAATCTTTACTTAGCTATTCTCTACTATTCAACTTTTTAGCCATCAATTTAACCCTAAACATTTTGCTTGCTCTCTAGTAAACTTCTTGCATAATTTCATATTTTCCTTTGACAAATCAGAAAATCATTCATCCCCAAACCCTAAACTCCTATTTCATTTTGTAACACAAAAAATGAAGCCTTGCTAAAATGGGATGTATTTTTTCCAGTATAAGGTTGTGCGAAAGCAAATGAAAGTTGAATGTCTAAATTAAAAAAAATGGCAAACTTCACTTTCTCTCCTTGTTGTATACCCCAAATGCACATTGCCTCTTATGATTTAGAAACGACCACATAACCCTCATGTGATATGTAGACTAAAGTGTATGGTTAATAATTCCATCTAAACTAACTGTAATTGTGTCTCATGCGATTATTTTGCAACTTGGACTACACAACTAATTTCTTGATGACAAAAATGCCCTTATATTGTTTGTGAAATTACAAAAATACTTCTATATTGTTCATCGTCTTCATCCTTTTGACTATGTATCCTCTCTCTCTCTCTCTCTCACACACACACACACACACATGGTGGTAAATGGTGATGTTTTGTTGGACACATACGTTGGCAAAGGACTGGCGTTTGACTGCAGAGAAAAGCAGTTCGTTGGGGAGGTTGATTGTGATGATTGTGACTTTGAGTCCATATCCAGATAAGGCTCTGTTATACTGATTGTTGATGTATTGATTGTTTGAGTGCTTGGTTATGTTCATGCCAGTAGGTGAATTTTCAGCTTGCTTATTAGTGATATTAAGAGAGTAGAAAAGGAATCGGATTTCTTGTGTGATGTTTTGAGAGCAATTTCTTCGATTCTAAGAAGAACATGTAGTTCTTCTGGTGACAATGGTTGAGACTGAGTGCAAATTGGTGTGCGAAAAGCACTAAACTCTACAAATGAGAGGATGAAAAGCTAAAGAAGGGTCTTTTACCTACATATGAGAGGATGGAAAGGAGGAGGACGAGGAGGAAAAGGAAGAGAGGAATGGTGAGGCATTCCATGCTCTATTTTAGGGGAAACAGAGTAGGAGATAGAGAGAGAGGAGATTGTGTGTGGATAGAGGGGGCTTTGTTCTGTAATGGAGTACTTATGAGAGAGTGGGTGGGTTGTTGTCTGCTGTGGTATTGGGTGTTTGCCAGAGAAGTAGAACGGATATGAGAAGTCTGTTGGAGTAGAAGAATGGGTCCGAAAGGAAAGAAAGAAGGGGTATTAAAGTCATTTCAATGTTTCCGTTAACGACGTTGGGAGTGCACTTTTGTCCAAAAACCACGTGAGGGTTATGTGGACATTTCTAAATTATAGGGAGGCAATGTGCATTTGGGCTATACCATAGGGAGGTAAAGTGAAGTTTGCCCTAAAAAAGTGGAACCTTGATGAAATGGATGTTATTTTTTGTTTTTTATGTAGTTGTGTAAAAGCACACGAAAATTGATTGTCAAAAACAACATTCACTTGTATTTTTTGGTTCGATCCTCCTAGGTACTTGCTCAAGGATTCCAGGTGGCATTCATTCTCCTAGGAAAACTTGAACTCAGGTCTAGGATGAGCCTGTGTATCGGTTTCTATGTGCTGTTATTAGTTGTTCCATGTTTTGTGACTTTCAAACATCTTAGGTGTACAGTGGTGGAAAAGCATATCAAATTGTTTCCCCCGTCATTTTTTGTTGGGCAAGTAGTTTCGCAATTGAATTCACTTTGATGTATCTGTGGCTTTTGTATCAAATGCTGGACTGGTGGCAGACTCTTTCCCAAGTACATGAGCCATTTTTGTCCTCTAAAACGTCTAGCTTTGTTTCTAACATTATCAGTTCTTCCAACCTCTGTCCTTGATCTGTTAACATTAACGAATGCACTCGAAAGAAAGGTAAAAGTACAGCTTAAAGGACTACTGGTGTTCTGACGCGGTTCAAATTCAAAAAATGGGCGTGAGGATTAATTGGTCTGTTGAGTAAATCAGATGATTTGCAGAGTCTACTAAAAGTTCCATCTGTCTCCTGGTATGAAACTGGGTACAAGTGTCAGAAAGTATTTCGGATTATGAATTTCTTGGTCCCCCATTATTCGAGTACCTTTTCAAATTCCAGCATCTCTCTCTCTCTCTGTGTGTGGAAGAATGAGATGATCTGTCCCCCTTAAATTCTCCGAGATAGAGAAGTCTGTTTGAGGCTTTTATGCTCGGTTTGGTATAATGGAAGGGTGAAAAGTTGGAAGGATAAAAAGTTGAAGAGATAAATAAAATATCATGTTTGATAAGCAAAGAAAATAGGAATGATAAAAAAGTGGATGAATTAACTGGCCTTTCAACTCATCAAAATCAATCTCACCAAAATCGGAATAAAAGTGGATGAAAAGTTAATTATTTATGTTGAGATATATTTTATTTATCTATATATCTTTTGATATATTTTATATATATATATATATCTTTATATATATATATATATATATAATAAAGTAGCTTACAATTTAATTATTAAAAGATAAATAAAATGACTTTTGTTATTCGTGGTTGAGATTGTTTTAAATTTAACTTTAAAATTAATTTAACGGCTAATATTAATACCCTAAATTTAATAGGGAAAAATAGGCCCATAAGAGTGTGTTTGGAGTGATTTTTTAAAAGTACTTTTAAAAATTATTTCTTGTAAATAATTTAAAAAAAATAGCATTTGAAACCGCCCTACCACTACCTCTACCACCGCCACTGCTGCTGTCACCGCTAGTGCCACCACCGTCACTACCACTGCCACCACCATCGCCGTCGCCGCCATCACCATCGCCACCAACATCACCACCACTGCTGCCCCCATCACCATCGCCACGCCCACTACCATCGCCGTCACTAACGCCACCGCCACCACAACAGTCATCGCCCCCCCCCCACCACAACCACCGTTGTCGCCCCCCTTTGCTGCCACCACCACCACCCCACCATCGCTGTCGCCACCATTACCACCACCGTCGTCACCCTCATTGTCGTCACCGACATGGCCACCACCACCACTGTCGTAGTCGCCATTGCCACCGCCACCACAGTCATTGCCACCCACCAGAACTATCGCCGTCTTCTACCACCACCACTGTTGTCCACCACCTCTCACTCTCACTACAAACTGATGTTTAAATTCTTCTCTTTTTATATTTGTGATTTGATTTTAGATATGAATACAAATATGTTTATTATTTATTATTTTTTATTACTCTGTGCCTTTAGGTACATGTAATATATATATATATATATATATATATATATATATATATATATAAGCATATAATATTATATAAAAAGTACAATGATATAAAATATGTATATATATATATATATATATTAAAATAAATTTTAAAATAAAAAAACAAAAAAAGTAAAAATTATATTTTTTTTTCATCTTAGTTAGGGGTGAAAATTTTCGACTCAACACGATAACACGATTCGAACTCGACATAAATTTTATGACACGATTTTGATTATAACTCGATATGAACTTAAAAATGACCTGACACGCGAACAAGAAGTATAAAATGCTTATATTCGGTTCAATTTGTCAAACTCAAAATTGATATCATTACAAATTTGACACGATACTGACTCGATTGAAACTTCTAATCTTAGTCAGCACAAAAAAAAAAAAATTAGTCATTTTTATTTTTCATCCATTCTACTAAATATAAAAGAAGGAAAGTGTATCATTTATACTTTTTTTTTTTGAAAGATAAAAAATATATCCCTCATATTTTTTATCATTTATAAGTGAGAGTCGCAAACACTAGGAACCCTGATCAATAGTTCTAACAGTATACAAAAATGGACTAGGAATTTAAACACGGACAGGAAAACACTGGCCATGTCCAAAGCTTCCTGTGCAGCCTTCTGTTTGCATTGTATGCATGTGATATTAGGTGGCCAAATTTGGATGCTAAAATATTCCATCACTTGACTAATTAAAATTCCCAAAAAATAAACCCCCAATCACGTCAATGTAAGCCGTTGATTCTACTCACTATAACAAAAATTGGTTTTTCAGTTGGCAATTTCTCGACGCAAATAGTTTGCCTATTGACTAAAAAAGTATTTGAATCGACAATCATACTATTTGAGTCGGTAAAGGAGGGTGCAAATAACGGGTAATACAAAAAGTTTGAGTCGACTATTTGTTGACGCAAAAAATTATTAGCATCAGGCAATAACTGACGTAAAAAATCTGAGGCCAAAGATTGGTTGGCATCACTTTTTTGTGTTGGTAGCTATTGTTGAGGCAAAAAATAAAAATACCTTTTGTGTTAGCAAAATGTTACGTCAGCAAAATAAAAATACACGTTTATTTCGTTTGTAGTTCTTGTTTTAGATACAAAGTATTGGATTTAATTTTATTTTCAATATTAGTTTTGTTTTCTATTC